TACCGACTAAGCTAAGGAGGCGAGGGTCACATCTCCAAATTGCAACTGAGAACAAGTGCGCTTATGTCTCATGCCCCCTCAATTGCTGTGCGACACGCCTTGATGGTTCTCTCTCTCCTCTTTATTCGAGTGCTCTAGTGAGTTGTATTTCCACCATTGGATTCTCCCTCACGTGTCGCTGGATTCCCCTTGAGCATGCGGCTTTGCATTGAATCCCAATATAACTCAGATTTCCGCTTTGCACTAGAGAACGGGGGTGACCTTCGCCTCCTTAGCTTAGTCGGTAGAGCATCCGCTTAGTAAGCGGAAGGTCGCCGGTTCGATTCCGGCAGAAGGCTTTACCAATCGGGTATTTTGTAACCTCATTGCTAACAACACGTGCTGCGCAACAGGACCACCCTGCCGTGTAGGGGTTGCGAAGGAACCATGGAATGTGGCTTTTTCCTGTAAGGGCCAGGCAGTTGTTTGTGTTATTCTCTCAGTAGCCAATCACTTCACCAGACGAGTCCCCGGAGAAAAGAGGAGTGTCCTTCCCTCCGCGAGCCGTAGTGTGTCGGTTGGGCAATATGGGGGTCTTACTCGTATAGCAGACAAGCGGCCACCCAAAGGTTTTCCGTCAGCAAATTCCTGCTACTCGCCTACCCAGGAAACTGCAGTGCACCGACCGAGTGCGTCTAGAGAAGCACCCCACAACTGTTTGAGCCATTCCGGATCAATGGGCAGCTCAGACTTGTGCGTCTTTCTGCACAAAACACACCAGACATAATGGCATAGCCTTCTGCCGGAATCGAACCGGCGACCTTCCGCTTACTAAGCGGATGCTCTACCGACTAAGCTAAGGAGGCGAGGGTCACCTCCCTTCCCAACTGCAAAGTGGATATCCGAGTTGTGTTCGTGCCCGATACAATGCGGCATACTCCAGGGGAATCCAGCGACGCGTGAAGTAGAGTCCAGTGATTGAAAGGCAACACACTAGAGCACGCCAATTGAAAGAGCCAGAGAACCCTCTGGGTGTGTCCGCCAGCAATTGAGAGGGCATGGTAGCCCGGCGTTCTTATTCTCAATTGCAATTTGAAGGGGTGACCCTCGCCTCCTTAGCTTAGTCGGTAGAGCATCCGCTTAGTAAGCGGAAGGTCGCCGGTTCGATTCCGGCAGAAGGCTTCGTTATTGGGTTTTGTGCGTATTGTATAATAAGCAGCTCTAGTCTGAGCTGTGCATACAAAGTAAACAAGAAGATAAAGTAAGCCACAGTGGCTGGATAGGCATTTAGAGGGGGTGCGGTTGACCCTCTGCACGTCTGCTACCTCCACCTCTGCTCAACTGCCTTTCTAAAGGGGTGGCCCTCGCCTCGTTAGTCTACCCGGTAGAGCTTTCACGTAGTAGCGGGAATGCAGCAAGGTCAGTCGGTAGCGCCCTCTCCTACCGTGGACAACTCCATAATCTGAACCGGTGCAAGCTTTCCACAACAGCAACTTCGATAATGACTCGAAGCTGCAAGGGAATTGATTGAAGCAGTTTGGCGATCACATGCTTGCTCGCAAATTAAAACATGCCGCCAAATACTAAACCTTTGGAACTAGATGCTGATGTACAATTAATCAGCCCCTGGAATCCCCGTCCGCTTGCAAAGGTTGGAAGCAGCAGGCAATGGTTTGAAAATTTCGGTTACTGCTGAGGTAGCACACAACCAGTTGCAGACTGAAGTGGTCTAAACGAAAAATTCTGAGAAAAAGAGTTACATTTCTGCAAACGTCAATGAAGGCTGGCTTCGAGGAGAAGCAAAATCACGTAGGCCTTGAGGCCATCCGCTTCCCTTCCAAAAAAACAAAACAAATAAGCCGTCAGCACGAGTAATTAAGCGAATGAAATGCAAATTCTATCCAAAACAATCAAACAACGAGGCAGTCTTGAACGGACCTCCTCGTCTTGCTGGTGCTGAGGTTGCTGCTGCTCTGGCTGCTGACGCTGTGGACGCCAGCTGTCCAGGTTACCCACATGACATCTCGGTCTGGTGTGACAAGGCATATCTAGCTAGCGGCCAGCCAGCTAGTCATCCGGCTAAGTAAATAGCAAAGTATCTAACGGTGCTGACGAACTGCCAACAGCACGGCGGCTTCCCACCATGCAATGGAGTTCATGAAGCACAGCTGCACCAGGTATGGAACAAATCGTCAAGTGGCGGCAGCGAAAGACGAGGTCCCCTGCACCCTCAAGCGAGGTGCAAATGTCGGGCATCTGCAGAACAACAAGATAGAAGTCAGCAGCAGCAAGCATCGGCAGCAAGGAACAACAGCAACGAAAGCAACAACAAGCATATATCAACAAAAATGCGCTCAATAAGCATGCCGACACGGCCAAGTAGATTCACTTAGAACAAAGGCGACAGTGGCACCACATAGAGATGCAACACATGTTCTTGTAAGTGAAAGAGGCACTGTGAGTATGTTTGGGTGTATTGATGTGCGTAAATCCCAATATAACGGTGAATGTCTACGTGAGGGATGCGCTTCCCAGGAAGATAGAAAAATAATGACACCAAAATATATATCTGCCCATATATGGTCTTAGAAGCTCGCTTGCATGAATGGTATAAGGCCGTAGTGCATTATGCCTGTTATTTCTGTATTAAGTGCTGCTGTCCTTACTCAAGAAAATACACTGTGCATATACCATATACATAGCAGAAACGGCAGACGGCCAATTTAGTATATTGTGAGTTTGCATACCCAGAGTGCGCGGAGTGACTCATGGTGTTTGGCGGCAAGTAAAGAACACAATTCATCTCCTAACGCCTCTTCCTTGCCAACTTGGGTTGCTTTCCTCTGTAATCTCTCCCGAAGGCCCCTGAGGCCGTCAGGCAATCGGCAGCTGCGGCTGCTGCTGCCGCTGCTACTGCTGTTGCTCCTGCTGCTGGCGTCGCATCTACTACCCGAGACTCCCACCGACGTTCCAAACCCGAAGACAACCAACTGCTGAGGCGGGAGATCCTCCAGGAGAAGCAGCAATGCTTCAAGTGCAGACACTCCCTCCACTTCTGGCGCCTCTGATTCTGTTGGAACAGCTGCTGCTGCCGTTTGATCTCTTGCCTGATTGCTACCGGTGGGCTTATCATGAAGGCAGCTGATAATAAGTGTCTTCAACCTCGGTGTTTTGCCGCGGAGAGCCAGCAGTAGCTCAGGTCCCACTTCGGTCTCGAGCACGAGCTCTTCCAGCTGCTGTAGGCCGCTGCTGCTGTCACTGCTTCCACTGTTGTCATTGCTGTTGCTACTACTACTACTACTACTACTACTACTACTATTACTGCTCCCAGGATGAAGAGGTATTAAGACACAAGATCCCCTAGCTGCGTCTGCTGCAGCCAAAATATTTTGCGGTGTGGCTGTGTTGCAAACGCACAGGAGGCACAACAATCGAAAACCTTCAGCAGACCGGCATGGAGAGCAGCATCATTGCACCAAACAGAGCACCAATGCAAGGAAGATGCCCCAGAGAGGGACATTCGTGTGACTGGATGTAGAAGTACGCCCCACAGACAACTGGATTCAGAGTGCAAGACTAGTGACAGGCATAGTGTGGGGTTCACGTGGTTCAAAATAATACAAAAAAAAGAACTCGCTCGGGTAATCGGTTTTTTTGTACGAAGAAAAACGAAGTCACAGCACCCAACACAGCCCGCGACGAAAGAAGCAGACTAACTGAATGGAGGAGACACAAGAAGCGAAAGGAGAAAAGAGAAGCAGAGAAATAGCCAAAAGCAAACGGATGTTTCTAGGGAAAACCATAGCTGAGCAACAACAGCGGTGTGGCTAGGGAGACGTCTTACAATGTCTGATGTAGCCTCCCCCCATGGTGCGATGAACCCGCAGATGCCTCAAATACGGCAAAGTCCAATATTGAGGGCGTGTTGCGTGCTCCGCTTCATTCATGCCCCGACTGCTGTTGCTGCTGACCTTGCTGCTGCTGCTGTCGCTGTAGCTACACATGCGGCTGGTGCCAGGTCTACAACTTGAACTGACACTGCTAACCCTGCTGGTGGGACTGCTTCTACTGCTAGCTGTGCTGGTGCTGCATGGGGCATTGCTGAGCTGCAGCAGCAGCTCATTTGCCTCCGATGCGTCGTCGTCTGCAAGGACGAGCGTCTCTGTCCTGCTCCAGAGACTTCTGAGTTGAATGGAAGGACCTACAGAAGCAGATAAAGAACTTAATGGCCTATGGGAGGCGTCCACGGATGACCACCTGCAGCAAAGATGCAAACAGACTGGGTTGCATAATCAGTATCCCCTCAACTGTTTGTGGCTGCAGCAGCACAATCAGAGGGACGTTTATCGGCGAAAAATTTACGGCGGGCAGGAGGATCTCCAAGAAAACAGCTGTGCTGCTGCTCACATGCAATGTAATTGCATCACTTCCTTCCAGCGGCGGCAGACATGAGAAAGTGTCGCCTTTTCTGCAGATTGGCTGCCAACCAAAGACAGAATGAAGGCGATCAAATGCCTAGGCAAAGATGCGAAGCCAAGTTGGTCAGTAGCATTTTGTGTTCCTTCTGGTTTGCTCTTTGTTGTGGTTTCTTCTGCTTCTGCTGGTTGGCCTTCCGGATCCGTCGTTGGATCTCTCCGCCTGCGTATCTCTTCTGTTGCCCATCTTTTTGAGGGTAGCATACGGATTCTAAAGGGACGCTGTTGCTGAGTGTTTGCGTTGATCTTTTGAATTTCAGTAGGACAAGAACTGATTGGGTACTTGGAGCCGAGACGGTCTGGGCTGCAGGGTGCCGAGTCATCGCTTGAGGAAGGTCGGCATTTGCGTGCTTCAAATGCAAGCTTGTTGATTGCTACTAAGGAGTAATGAGGAGCTACTACGGACTCAGGGGAGCGGGGTGCCTCTAATGCCCCCTCGTGTGTGCCGAAACACAAGGGGCGCTCGGGGCGAGCCTGCACAGGAAGCAGTGGCCCCCGAACGTCTTCTTTGGTAACTTTCATTGAAAGATCAGTTAAAAAAACAAAATAAGAGAATTTCAGGAATTAAACAAAAAGCGAAGGCCAGAAATGAGCAAACTTGCACTCTGGAGGAGGCTCTGTGGCCAGGGCGGTGACCAACTGTTGTGCCGGAGAAATCCTTGCTGAAATACATGCGGTTTTGCAGATAATTCAACATATCCAGCTTCAAAAGTTAAAATAAAATATTTAAGAGAAGAAAGTTTAAAAAATGCGGCCTTGAAGAAGCTGCGCCTACACGAGACACAGTTGAACGGGTGGGCCAGGCGGACAACTCCCATCTCGCCCACCTGCGCGTTGGCAAGATGTGCCCTTACCCGTTTCTACCGGCTCAGTACACCAAACCAACCCAATTGGCTTTTAAAAGTGGTATTTTTCTTTCTCAGGATCAAGCAGTCGCTAAAATGTAGCCGAAATGCCCTGCGCTGTGTGTATCCGCCGCCACGCAGAGGCCCAACAGGGGCCGACGTCGGACAGGGGGGCCAGAAACACTGAATTTCTTCGGTGGTTCCTTGAATTGTTAAGAACCAGTGTTTCAATTGACTTCCTGAAGGGATAATTTGCTCTGAAGGTCTTCCGCTCACTACCCGAAGTATACAAGAGAGCGACGAGGAACTCGGGGAGCTCCTGTTTTTGTGTGTGAGCAAGGATGGTCCACTTCTGCAGAAGCTCCGCTTCTCCATAGTAAAGCCATTTTCTGGCAGATATAATTCGTTTTCAGCCGATGAGAAGATGCACCATATAGCACACCCACACAACTTGCGCCCTTGGTGGGTTAGTTAGTAATAATATTTGTACGCGAGGACCTGCAAATCAACAATAGCAAATTTGAGCCTTCCTGACTCCTGTAGAATTCCCTCATTCAGCCTTGTAACGGCTGGAAGATCCTTCGTATCCTTAAATGGTGTGGCGATGGTCGCGGCATTGTACGTGCCATTGATAAAGTTATTGCCTTTAGTTTATTCCTCCTCCTCTCGTATTCGGTTTAATAGCCGTTCTGGCCTGGCTTTTGCTACGCTTTTCAAGATACTCCGAGCATCCTGAACTGAGTGGCGAAGGATCAACTACCAACAACTAAACCCTAAGCTGCACTCAACCGTGATCCAACAACAAGCAAACATGTGCCCGTAGATATGTGTAGACTAGGTCTTAGGGTTTGGGGTTTCGAACAGCATTCACACAGCTCAACAGACGAGGAAAGCATTAGCTTGACAGAGACGAAAACAAACAAATGTTCCGGCAGTGTCACAAAGGAGCTCAAAAGAGAGTGGGGAGGCTGAAGGGCAGTACATAGAGCCCAACTAATGTACAGAAAGCAGTGAAAGAAAACAAAGCAAAGCCGAAAGAATGGCGGTGAGTTTCAACTACTTCCTGAGCCGCACCTCGCCTGTCCTTCCGGCATTCTGCTAGCCAACCGCAAAAAAAAACTACAGCTCCCTCTGCGCCCTGTTCACCCGCATCAAACCGTGCATTAGGGTTTGGGGTGTAGGGCGTCTTGACTTGCTGAATGGGCCTTGTTGCCAGAAGAAAAGGCCTCTGTCCACTCCTCTACTAAAGTGATTCGCAGCAGCGACCAACACCGTTTTGAGAATCCCGCGGCTTACAGCGACAGCAAATACACTTGCGCATGATGATGGTGATACTGCTGCTACATGCGGCTGCATCTGCAGCTGCTGCTGGCTATGCAGCAGCGGCAGCTCGTGCCCCTGTTGCTGATGGGGTTGCCTGCGTTGTTGAACTTGGAGTTGCAACTGCTGCTATTGGGCTGCTGCAGCAGGTGCTCCTTCAGTTGCTGCTCACTGCCAACCCTCTAGGGGCACATCTGTGTTGGCGTCAAGAGGAGCACTGGGGATGATCATCATGGGTAGAGAGGATGCTCCCTCTCTCACCCAAACTTTGTAGTGTTCTACCTCTCTTTTGAACTCCTGCACGGCCTGCCGTCTGTACACCTGAACTGCAGGCACACTCAGGTCGGCTTCGAACTGTTGCTGGTGCTGTTGGCGCAGCTGCTGCTGCTGCTGTTGTTGAATGTATTCTTGATCGGCTTGCTGTGTCACCCCTGCAGCTGCAGCAGCAGCTGCAGCAGCAGCGGCAGCAGCAGCTGCTGCTGCCGTTGCTGGCGGGACTACGTAGTTCGAGTCTCCCATTGCTAAGGCCTCCACCGCTTGAACTGCAGCGGGAGGCAGGAGCTCCTCGAGCGATAAGGCTCTTAAGAAGCAGACGAGGACGGAATGACCGCTGATGACAACGGCCTCTTCCGCAGATAGGGCGACTCGGCGTGGGTGCTGCTGTTGTTGCTGCTGCAGTTGGATGTAGTAGTAGTTGTTGCGGGCGCTGGTGAAGGTGGGTTCTTGTCCTGTGATCCTTCCTATGACTCTGCGCATGCCCTCAACCAGTCTGTAGAGGAGAAGCCACATAAACGCTCTGCGCACGACCCATGCCCAGTGAAGGAAGAGGCGGGATCCCTGTTGCAGCAGACAGAGGTCATTGAGGATGTCGCTGAGCTGCTCTCCATTAAGGATCGGAAGATTTCTGTAGATGAACCAGAGGCCCTTCGAGACATTTGCATACAAGTCCGACTCAATAACAAGCTGGAGTCCTTTCTTTAAGAAGGCGAAATCGAAGTTGGGCGGCAGCTGACGGCCACGGGCGGCGATGAGCTGCGTCCAGAAATCGAGATAGCTGAGGGCAGCGAACACTTGCGGGCTGTTGTGTGCATGCGTTTTCAGTAGGACGATCTTTACAAAGACCGATAGAAGCTTTTCATTTGCTAGCACGGCACCGGTACAGTTTGCAAGCGAGTCGGGGTACTTGCTGACGCTGCGGCCTTTCATCTCTAGCAGCAGCCTCTTTAGCAGTGTTCGATACCCAGGAATATCTTTCCACTCCAGTGGCCCTTTAGCGGCAGAACTCAGCAGCAGAGAACGCACAAACTGTTCTAAAAACGTGAAAAAAGAACTCCCTGAAGGACCCAGCTCTTCTCTCCAGTCAGGTTCCGGTGGCAGTTTGCTTTGCAACGCTGCATCATCATCGTTTAGTGCCTCCGGCCCAAAATAATCCCTTAAAGCACTGTAGAATGTCTCCCACTGCAACATCAGCCGCAGGGGGCTTCCAGTAGACCACTTCTCTGCTGCTGCCAACGCATGCACGTCCAAGTTGTATTCTGTTCCCCGCCACTCCTCCACTGCAGCGGCGCGACCTTCAGGAGGCAGCACGCACTGCAGCAGCTCTTCGCGGAACTCGGGGACCCGAAAGTAGCAGCTCGCCAGCAACAGAGACGCCATTCGCCGCTGCCCTCCAAACGAAGCCTCCCCCCCTAGCATCCGCAGTGCTGCTGCTAACACCCGCTGCAGCAGCACGCGGAACTGACGGCACAGCTTGAGCCGCTTATGATACAGCACTGCGGCAAACTTCGTCTCAGGACTCAGAGAACTTGCAAGCTGCCGCAGCTCCTCTGTTCGTTCTGCAGACACTGATGCACGCAGCTTCTGCTTCCAAGGTTCGGGTTCCGTCTTCTGCCGCTGCTGCACACCACCCAGCAATCCCTCCCCCGGCTGCTGCTGCTGTAGTTCGCGCAACCACGCTGCCGCTGCTGCTGCTGCTCCTCCTGCTGATTCGCTCTCGCCATTCGAGCTCCCCTCCCCAAGAGCGCCGTTCCTAAACCGCTTTATTGCAGCGCCCAAGTAACCCCGTGCTCCCTCACCATAGTCACTGACACCCAGACGAGGCAACAAGTTCACGCTCAAAGACAAACGACCGCCGCTCGCCTGCTGCTGCTCCTGCTCCTGCTGCTGTTGAGAAGCGCACGAAGCTGGAGTTTGCTGCTGCTGACTACTGCTTCCCTTCCTCGAACCACCTCCATTGTCCGCACTCCCGGTGCTGTTGCTGCTGCTATTGCTACTACTGGGGTTTGTCGTGTTGTTAGGCTCGAGGTCACCAGATCGCTCAGAGCGGTCAAGTTTGGGTTTGCGTTCACCTGCAGCTGCTGAGGTTGTAGCGTTGTCTGAGGTGGCGCTGGTTGGAGCGTTTGCTGCGGTGGCCTTTGCATCCGCATTTGCATCGGCAGCAGCAGCAGCGGTGACACTGTCAGCGGCTGCTGCCGCTGCGTGTTCTTCCTTGATGAATACATAGAGTACATACACCTCAGCAGATGTCATCTCTGCACATGGCTCGGGCTTGGGAGGCAAAATCGTGTGAAGTTCAAATTCTGGCCGGCGGAGGACAGCAGAGAGAACTGCGCAGTAGCTGGCGCGGCACTGCCAGAAGACGAACTCTAAGAATTCGAGTGTATGCGCAGCTAAGTTCAGCAAGACTCTCTGACTCCGTAGCAACTCGCACTCCGAACCAAAACAAAAAAGTCGACGAGCTTCCGACTCAGCACTCAGCAGCTGCAGCAGCTCTTCGCAAGTCGCCTTCGCCTCCTCAAGCGTCTGCAACCAGCCACAGACACTCGCAGATATTTCTTATTTGTCCATTTGATGAATGCATATGTTCGTGTTGCCCATTGTCTGTGTGTTCTTGCAGACGACAACTCAACTGTGTGTGAAGAATACACATGCGCACGCATAAACCCCAAGTATACACATACGTATACGGATATACAAATATGTGCATATCTACATATACATGCGGATGTCGTTTGCTCTGCTTACCTTCGCGCTGTTGGTGGGGGTTTGGGTTGTCTTTTTGACGGAGGAGAGGAAAGCAGTGACGGCAGTTACAGGGGGAAGATTTTCGGGAAATTTTTGTTGTGTTTTAGCTGTGATAAGTTGAAGCAATTTTTCATGAAGAGTAGCGATGCGTGCGATGGGAGGGGGCAGACCACCTCCGGTGATCTTGAAGTCGATGCGGGTTTGCTGCTTTAAATCGAAGACATGGGGAGGCATAGAGTTACATACACCTTTCTCTGTGCGTACGCCAACGCATAGCTGACGTACGACGGGGTTATTTTGAAACACAATAATGCCTTCTAAGTCCCCGACGCGTCTGCCGTCAAGCCACAACTTCTCCCTAAAATAGGAGTCGTAGAAGAGGCGGGGGACGGAGCTAACAATATCGGAGTCGTATACCTTAAAGAAAGGCAGCCAACACTCCCCATACAGCTGCGGCGCATCGTTATCGAATACGCGTGCATGCAGCCTTATACGCATATAGTTCTGCCGCAACTGATCCACAGTTGTTGATAGACGTAATGTAGGAAACACGTCAGAGAGCACATTCTTAACTAAATCCCCCTCCTCAGCGACAGCAGCAAGTCGCTCGTATGTTGTAAAAGGATCGAGATGATCCCGATGTAGCTGCTGTCGAGACACTGCAACTGCAGATACACTCGAGCGCAAAGATGCCCGTTTACGCTCCTCGTCAACACCTCCTCCTCCTCCCTTCTCCCCTTTTCCCAGCGCTCCTAAACCCTTTATGCTATCGTCTACCCCGTCTTCCTCCTCCGTCGTTCCCGTCGGACTCGCCTCATCCCTGCTGGTGCTACTGCTGCCACTGTTGCTGTCGTTGTTGTTGCTGCTGGTGTGTGTGTTAGGCTGTGTGGTTGCCAAGGATGCTACATCCTTAAGAGATCCACCCCTTGATAGACACCCTGCAGGTGCGGATGCAGCAGAGGCGACAGAGAGAGCGCGGTTACGAACTCTTCGCTTAAGAAGAGCATGATCTACTGCATTCCAATAAGGTTGTACCATCAGATCTGTTTGTAAGGAAAAAGATTCTCTTGGGTTATCAACACCTGTAGGGGAGAAGGATAATAGCCAATGGGCATTTAAACGGCCTAAAGGCTCCTCTTCCCCATCTAGATCCGCTGGATCGCTGCCGCTCCTCCCGCCGCTGCTGCCGCTGCTGTTGCTGCTGCTGCTCTTACTGCTGCTCAAGCTGCTCCCACGACGCAGTGTTGTGCTGCCCATGCTGCTGCCCTCAGCATCCGCCTCATTGGTAGTGGCTGCTGCCTCCTTGCGGGCTTTAATGGTTCTGCGACATGCAGCTGCTGCAGCGCGGCTTGCAGCCGCAGCAGCACGACTTGCTGCTGCTGCAGCACGACTTGCTGCTGCTGCTGCTGCTGCCTGCCGCCGCTGCCTCTCCCCGTGGCGGAAGTCACATGATCTTCTTGCAAACGTTTGAAGAGGCGAATTGCCACCAGCAAAACAAAACACGTCTGACTTGGAATCTCGCAGAAGCGGACGCGTTGCTGCTGCCGCTGCGGCTCCTGCTGCTGCTGCTGTCCCTGGTGCTGGTGCTGTTGCTGTGGAAGCAGCACCAGTCTCATTTGTTTTTCCTCCGTCGGTTGTGTTCGCTGCGGCAGCAGTAGTACCTGCCACCGCAGCTGCAGTGGCAGCAGCGGTATCGCTTACTCCAGCAGCAGTAAGTGGCAGTGGTTGCTGTGGCTGCTGCTGCTGCTGCTGTTGCTGCTGTTCCTGTTCGTCTTCTGCATCGGAGCCACCGCTATCAGCAGATTCTTCTGAATCAATAAAATGACCTAATACCTCAATAGGGTTAATAATTAAATCACATATCTGCTGCATGCGAATATCCATCATTAAACGCCCCACAGGGAGCCCCGTTTCCTCGCACAGCAGCAGCAAGTCGTGATGTACGGGTCCCGTAGCAATAGCATACAGACACACAGAACAGCAACCTAAGATGCGTCCCGGCTGCTGTTGCTGCTGCTCCGGTTGTTGTTGTTGCTGCTCCTGTTGCTGCTGCTCCTCTTGCTGCTGGTCCTGCTGCTGCTGCTGGGAGGGAGGGGGGGAAGCTTCAATAACAGAAAAGACTAATGCCTTCGTACGAAGTTGCTCTAAAGAAGATGCATGCCAAGTAAACTCAAAGGAATTAAACCAGCGGGGAGAACGACCTCTAGCAGCATCTGTTGACAGCTTTAACACCTGCTGCTCGTCATCCTCATCCTGCTTCTGCTGTTGCTGCTGTCCCTGCTGCTGCTGCTGCTGTCCCTGCTGGTCTCCCTGTCCCTGTCCCTGTTGCTGCTCGTCCTGAGGCGCCTTTTCCCCATTTTCCTGAGGCTTTTCTTCTTGTTCTTGTTGTTCTTTCCCGTCCTGCTGCGGCTGCTGCTGTTGCTGCTGCTGCTGCTGCTGCTGCTGTTGCTGTATAGAGGATGGTTTCTTATCCATTCCTAGTGTATGTGCAGCAACAGGCGCTGCCCACTGTATCTGCAGCACAGCAGATCCATGAGAAGGTAATTCAATACCTCTTGCCCTCATAGCATATATTCTTACATGGAATAATAAACCCGCGTTAAGTTCTGTTAAGTCCCCGGATAACATATGATGGGGGGGATGACCACTTGCATAGCTGTAGCCTGCAGGCAGCAGTGGCTTCTGCGTCTGCTTCTTCGGTGGAACAACTGGCGCAGCAGATACAGTCGCAGGAGCAGCTGCAGGCGGCTGCTGCTGGTCTGGTTGCTGCTGTTGTTGTTGCTGTGGCGGAGGAGGTGGTGGAGGCGCTGGAGGCTGTTGCTGCGAAGGCAGCTGCTGCTGGGATGACGCAACATCTCCGGCTGATGCACCAGCGCCTGCAGCACTTGCTGGGGCGCCTGCAGCAGCAGCAGCAGCAGGTACTGCGCCTGTTGCTGCTGCTGCTTGTCTAGGTAGACTTTTGTGCGAAGCAGAAGCATTGGATTGTTGAGAAGAGGAGGATATGTTACTTGAACGACGGCGAATGCTGCCGGTGCGCGACCGTGCTGCTGCTGCTGCCGCCGCTGCTGCTGCTGCAGCTGCTGCTACTCTAGGAGGCGGTTGCGGGACCAAACTTAAACGCGAGCTTCTGCCGCTGCTAGCGAGACTGAGGCCAGAGGACCTCGATCGGCTCGACTGCGCATAGGCTAGCTGCCGCTGGTGTTGCCGTTGTGCAAGGGAGGAAGTAGAGGAGGAAGAGGAGGCCCTCCTATGGGTGTCATCAGCAAACGAACTTGCAGCTAAAGGCCTATGAGGTTCCCCAACTGCGTTTTTAGCGCAGCCCGCCCCCATTGTAATCGAAAAGAGGAGGAGGAAAGAGGATGATTACCAGCGGCAGGACCCATAAGCGAAGTGCGCTAAGGCTACTGTGGGCACTTGCAGCCAAAAGGACGACTCATAAGAAGAGAAAGTCTTGAAAAATATGTTGACTGTCAACGGGGCCGCAAAAATAATTTGCAGGGAGAGAGGAGAGGGAGAGAAGCCGCAGTTGGCAAGATGGGTAATATTGTGTTAAGCAGGAGGAGTCAAAGTGTTTGTGTTGGGGTGTTTCGTGTATATTGCGAGCATATAGAGGACGCTCTTATTATAACCAGGGAGGAAAACCACCAGAATTTGCGCGAAAATTCAGCGGCAAGTTATGCAAGGCTTGACGCCGCTCTCTCTCGGGGTGTCGTCCTCCCGAGTGGTTGAGCGTCCTGTGCCAAAAAAGGCAGAAAATAAATACTAAACGAAAGAGCTTCAAATTGATACCTTTGTTTTTAAAATATATTCCCTCAAACGGAAGGGTCGCCTCCTTCTGGCTTCCGCCTGTTCATGAGGTGGAGATTCACCTCAGCAGATGCCCGCGGCGGGCAGCACTTGAGCCCGCAGCCTCTACCCCTTTTTTAGATTTTTTTATGTTTTTAAAATACCCGTTTATATACAATCTAATTTTTCACTGTTTAAAACACAAAAGAAGCTGAAATAAACCCTACACGGTGCCGCTTGCCCCCTTGGTGTTCTGCTGCAGGCCAGGGTCGCAGCCGATGCGGTTACACGTGCGAGCTGTACGCGCTAAACTTGGGTGCCTTTAGACAACTTCCAGTACATTAAATGTATTCATATTGATTTATTCTTCTTGTTTTTGTCTGGGCGGATCAGGTTACACTGAAATGCGGTGCATATAAGAAGCCGTTCTGGTTATGTACTTGCTCCGAGCAAGCAGAACATGTGTAACGAATGCCTCAATCTTGTTCTAGGGTACTTCTGGCCTCATAATATGTTTTCGTGTAATTCCTTTTAAGCTAATTTATCATCTCCTCTCCTCTTCTCCTCCTGTGCACTACGGCAAGAGGACCTGCTGCTAGAGGGGAGGGGAGGCGTCAACAACGACAAACGTATGGCATGCGTTGCTGCAGCAGTGTTGTTGTTGCTGCTTCTTCTGCAAGACACTCCTGCATTCAGACAAAATACATCCCATTTAAATGCATGCACCTACGACCTAACAACTCGTATCCCTTCTAAGGCTAGAGTAGCTAGAGTAGACATCTGCCGCAGCTAGCATTAGCTAGCTGCTGCTAGCTGCTGCTGTGTAGAGCAAATCACCTATGGTAGCAGCTACTCGCACCTACCTACACATATTTAGTGCTAAAAGACGCCATCAGCTACACCTCCTCCCAGTTCTAACTGTGGCTGGCTAAGCTAGGTAGCGAAGGTGCTGCATTACAGCACGAGGGCCGTTAATAGATGTTACAACAAAGAGAGCAACGGAAATAAATGGCTAGCCATCAAAGGGCTAGAAACAGTGCAGCAGAGTAGTGTATTAAACGACCCTCTTGCTGCAGTGCAGCAGGAGGGTCGCTTAGAAACTGACCGCTCAGAGAGAAAGTAGACGAATTATTATTACATCAGAAGCAATTTTGCTGGTAAGGAAAAAGGCAAAAAGACATAAGCAGCAGCAAATGTGGGATAAACAACGGGCGCAAACAAGAGACAATAAGAGAGAGAAACGCAAGACAGGAGGGATAGTGCCTCTGTCTATTGCTTCTTATATATATACATGCATGCGTTTCGTCTTCTATTTTTTTTTATATGGCCGTTTCTGCTTCTATATATTAAATTGTCTTTAAAATGAGTTTCCTCTAGGCGTAAACGAAGAGCAGCAAATCATGTATTTGCAACACACCCACAAGTATATGAAGAAGTAAATAATACGCTGACAAACAGAGAAACATCTGTTTGTTGGTCTTCTTTATCGTCACCTTTTTACTTTTTTAGCATTTCGAGGGAGCTGTTGAAAGTACCTGCCTGCAGACAACAGCCCCGGGCCTTCTAGCCTACCAGCTGTGTAGCCAGCTAGCTAACCAGCTAGCAGCTGTCTAGCTGTAAGTGCTTGTTTGGGTGTTTTATAAATATCAGATGTTGCGGTATATGTGCTGCTTTATTTAGTACGTCCGCCTAAGATTTAGTAGCCAGCGAACTGTTGCTGAAGGTACACCGCAGGAGAGAGACGAAAAGATGCATGCACTGCCCACATCATTCGAAGGTGCATGCGTAGGGCCAACTGCACAGCAGGTTTAAGTGTAGCGAATATAATATTGGCAATTAAAAAATGGTGAGCAACAAACAGCAAAAAAGTGCTCACGATACAGGTTACGTTGCAGCACATAAATGCTTACGATACTGGTTGCGTTGCCGTGGGATACGCTGTCTTCGACCCGGTAACCGGCGGGTAGTGACCGCTGTAAGGTCTAGAGTCTTGGAGCTGCAAAGGGGAAATAAAGGATACACGCCAAAGAGAAGAGAAGAACTCGTAAGAACATACAGCAGTAAACCGTACCATGGAAAAAGCTGATATGCACGCATGCAAGCACGCGTGGATATGCACCTCAGCAAAAAGCAGAAAAAAGCAAACCAAGGGAGCGAATTGAGCTGGCAGTACTTTTCTTGTTGCATGCAAGCCCTAAACTACGGGGTGTATACACCTACATGGCAATATGCATGCATGCATGCACCAGATATTCTAGCTTTATCTTACCTCGCCAGCAGCTCGACAGTCTGCTCCCAATCCTTGCAAACCAAACAGAGAGTTCTTATTTGTTTGGCTTTTCCTCCCACTATGGCAAACACCTGGGCCAGTAGATGGCCGTGGAGGGGAAAACTTTGTACGACAGCAGCCAACGGAACTCTGTAAGCAAGCCATAAGCACTAAACCATAATCCCTCAGCCGTAAGCCCTAAACCGTAAGGTAAAACTTATATTCTTACGCCTTAAAACTAAACCCTGAACCCTCGACGATAAGGAACAAACTCCGCGGATAAGACAACAATTCACAAACAAGAGAGCGAAGAGAAAGAAATATGCAGTTGGATCCAGCACAAATACAGACAAGCAAAATTAGCCAAAGATACGTACAGATGCTAAAAAGAGCAGACAAAAAAATAACAGTGAAAACAAACAAAAAGACGCAATCACGGGGAGCGGAAAGGGGGGCGCATGCATCTGAACACCGGGCTAGTCGTAAGATACAAACAACAGTAAAAATAACAGCAACAACATCAAAGGCAACGGCAACAACAGCGACAACGACGGCGAAAACAAGACAAGGGGAAGAATAAGAGCAGTAATAAAAATATAACGAGGGCAAAAACTAGCAATAGCAGTAACAAAAAACAATGGCAATATTAACACTAACAACGAGCGCACCAACCCCAGCAGCATTACAACATAATAATTAGAAAAACGAGAAGAAAAATTTAACTCGGTGAGCATTATACGACCTTCCCTCCGCCCACCTGTCAACAGGCCTCGGCTCGGGTCTCCTTGCGTTTGCTTCGTCATCGAGAATAAAGAGGTGCAAATAGAGCCGATTTCGCACCTGCATGGCCTCCTCTGTCCTTAATCTTGCATTCGTTCGATTTTGTGCAAGTTGTATCTCCTCATTAACTGGCGAAGTTGTAAGTTGTTCTTCGTCTATGCTGGCTTCGTCTTCTTCCTCCACATCATCGACACTTTCTGCTGCAGCTGTGACTTTATGCTGCTCATCATGCTGATGAGGCTGTTGCCCGTTGCTGCTTGAAGGTTCAGATATGCGCACACAAGGAACAAAAGGAAGGAAATGCGGTCGCTAGCTGATCGTGTGGTTATGGACTAACAGGGCGAAAGAAATGGGCAAGAATGTCTCTCTGCCTCTTTTTATGTGCTAATATGGATGTTAAATGTGATTATTGACTCACACTGGCAGAACGTCGCTCCATGATTCTTGCAAAGAAAGAGCAGCAAAACAATCCGTAAGAGCGTCTATGGACGTTTGCGAGGAAAGACGACAGGGACGAGGAGAGGGAGGAGGGGAGGGTTGGTTTCCGTTTGTACTCATTTTAAATATAAAAAAGCAAATCAACAAACAAATAACAAATCAATTGACAATTTTTCTTTATGTCGTTTGTTTGTATACCTCTTGTACGGCACAGCTCGCAGGCCCCTGCCGACAAGGCCTGTTGCCAGTCGAGGCACCAACAGCAAGCGGTGCTCATCCTACTCCAACTGCAGTTCTCCACGCGTAATAATGCATCAACGTGTTTCTTTTAAACATTGGATGTTCTGTGAAAAATGAAAAATTTTAGATTTAACGCAATTTAGGCGTTCTTTTTGCATAGGGCAACATTCGCCCGCCACACTGATTACGGGCATTGCCGGGCTTCTACTGCCTGGCGCGAGGCCCACAGATGGGTGTGTGTCTTGTTTCCCTATTGTTTTCGTTTCCTCCCGTTATTTATTTATAATGCTTTAGTTTGTTTACTACTTTATTTGTAGATAAAATTAGATGGGGGCGAATATCGTATAAAAACACGCAGGTACCTCCGTGAACACCCCTAACGGAGGCAGTAAGTGACCTGCATACCTGGCTTGACCAGAACCTGCCAACTTGAGGTGTGTCTCATCTGCTTAATATTGCATTATCGATATTAATTGTGTTTAGGTTTCCATTTTGGGCAAAAATAAATCCGGTGTATGGATAATTACCACAAAAATGTACCACGCGGTGACCCACCTGAACTGGACCTAGCCGAAGAGTTGCTTTGTTGTGCACTTACTGCTTGTTTTGCTGTTTAATATTATTGCGTCTCTTCAGATACTAACTATTTATCTTTTATTTACAAGCAAAAGAGGAAAACACCAACCGAAATGAACAAATAAGTGTGCGGAGAAACACATACAAATACACGGATAGTAGTTGTGAACTCTACCCGATATTGCGGTACACATCGATAAAAAGACCCCACACAGTATGCATACATATATATTATGTATACACGTACGAATATACACATATCTGCCCATATGTGCATACATACGAATATAACATTACTCTTCCTGGTTGTGCGTACACTCATGGCGAACGCCAAAGGTGGCTGTTGTTGATTCAATACGAGCTAAAGAAGGGTTGCAATATTTAACAGAAATGGCGCTTATGGTTAGGGTTTGGTGCGAGGGTTTAGGGTTTGATGCCCGGCTGCCAGCTAACGAATATGTCGAGCAACAAGCAATCTAGGGTTTAGGGTTTACTGTTAGGAGAGGGAAGAAGAGTTTATTGTCATACACCTGAAGGTCGCAGCCAATATGCCAATTAAAACGAATTAGAATAAACAAGAATAAAATTTAAGAAGAAGCAGCAAATCGGAAATCACAATCGAGCCTCGATGCTCTTTGTCTATAACTATCAACTGCAGCTCACTAAAGGATACGGCTCAGCTGGCATTCATTTACTCGGGTAGCTAGCTAGCTAGCTAGTTGCCTAGCTAGCCAGAAGGGAAGCTAGCAGGGTGCACCGATAGCTGGCGCTCCCTGTATGCAGCTAATTAGCTGCTCATTCGGCTAAATTGCATCCACTACTGTGGAAGAGTGACTGGCTGGCTCGCTAGCTAGCTAGCCAACCAGACAGCCAGATAGCTAGCTAGCTAACCAAGGATTCAGCCATTCATCGCCAGGCTGCTCTAACGAGGACGAAATCGTTGTCGCCTTCGAGCTCATTGAAGAGGGAATAAAACTCTTGCTGCAACAGGAAAAACAGACAAAAGAAAAAGGAATTAAAGGAAACAAAACTAAATATATATACAGCAGCATGAAAGGCAGCAGCAGCTGCGGCAGCAGTAGTGCCTCACGTTGGTCTTGTCTACTAGACAGTTGGTAAGATACTCATCAGGGGCCCCCAACTCCTCGACCTTAAGGCCCGCCCTCCTCAGACTGAAGAAAAACACAGCAGGTACCCAGCACCAGCATGAGCACCGCAGCAGCAGAAGCGACAGCAACAGCAACAGCAAGCGTTAGATCATCATCAGCAGCACGGCAGTAAGTAATGCCTTTACCACCAGCAGCCGCGGTCATCATTAGCAGCAGCAGCCATCAATAGCAGCAGCAACAGAAATAGCAGCAGCAACAGCAGCAGCAGCAGCAGGAGCCTACGCATCTGCAAAGCAGATAGCTCCATCTCTAGCAAGTTTATGTGTATAGAATAGACGTCCTGTCTTCGGTCTTAGCAGACAACAAATTGTTGACACCCAATCCTTTACTGCAGATGCTTCGTATACTAAATCACTAGCTACTATTACGTCAAACCGACGCAACTCCCCCTGCAGCAGCAACAGCAGCACCAACAGCAGCAGCAGCAGCAAAAGCTTCAAGAAGCAGCAAGCTCGATACGTAGATACAGCTAGCTAACCACACCAAGACAGAGGGCCGCGCATGCAGCTGCGGCCGCAGCAGCAGCAAGTTGACGATGATAAGGTGAAGCAGCATTTAGCTAGAGGCAGCGGGAAATAACCACCGACCAGCTAGCTAGCAAGCTAGCTAGCTAGCTAGCTGCTGCAGCAGCAACAGACATACCTGTGAATCAGTAGGGAACGTTGACGAATCGCAGCAGTCGAGGCGCACCACTTCAACGCCCACTTGCTGCTGCTGTTGCTGTTGCTGTTGCTGCTGCTCCTGCAGCTGGAGGTCATTAATGCTGCAATTATATTTTAAATTATCTAAAGTTTGAGGGAAAACATCAGAAAAAACAACAGAAAGAGGAGGAGAAGGAAGCAACGAGCAGCAAAGGCCAAGGAGGCCACAACCTGCACCGAGTTCAAGAACTGTCTTTCCTTTGAATACCTCCTAAGGAAATAAAAAGAAAAATAATAGCAACAATTATTATTATTACTTATTTATTTATATAAATAATTATACTAAGTGATGTACAGTTTATTATTTATTTATTTATTTATTTATTTATTTATTTATTTATTTATTTATTTATTTATTTATTTATTTATTTTGTAAGACGTACAGGAGCTTTATTTGCGACGTCAATTAACCAACGAGCACCAATAATAGCAGATCCCCATAAAGCAACACCTAAAGGAAAATAAATAAATAAATAAATAAATAAATAAATAAATAAATAAATAAATAAATAAATAAAATATATTAGATAAATAATAAACAATAGCAGCAGAGGTAGGGTAGGAACGTCATGGCAATAGAAACAGCAACGTAAACAGCATACCCTTCCCTGCAGCAACAGCAACAATGTGACAGCAGCAGCACCAAATGCAGCAGCCTCCACAGCCACTTGCAGCAGCAGCAACACCAACACCTGCAGCAGCAGCAGCAGCAGACCTGTGGTGTCGTCTGTGCTTGCTTGTTGATGAGTAGAGAAGACCTCTCCTTCCCAATTCAATGCAATTTCTCGGCATTTTATTTGCTGCTGCCCTAACTGCAGCAAATGAGTTGTGCTGCTTCTTATAGATGAGGAGGAGGCTTGCTGCTGCTGCTGCTGCTGCTGCTGCTGTTGCTTCTGGTGCTGTTTCTGGGGCTGTTTCTGCTGCTGCTTAGAGCGCACTCCGGCATGGGAGCCCTTGCCTCCAGATGCTGCTGCTGTTTTTGTTGTTGCTGCTGCTGGTTTTCCTGTTGCTGCTGCTGCTGCTGGCTCTTGTGACGACTGCAGCGGCTGCTTCTCCAGTGCTTCTGCTGAGTGGTGCTCCAGCAGCAGCTGCAGCACATCGCCATTTTCTGCACTAAATCCTTCGGATAGGGCAGAACGACCAAATTCGTTTTGCTGCAGCACGTCAATCCGCAGCACGCAGGTGCATGCGCTGCTGTCACCTGCTGCTGCTCCTGTTGCTGCTGCTGCTGTTGCTCCTGTTGCTGCTGGTGTTTCTGCTGAATCTACGTCCATGTCGTCTGCTGACGACGCAGCTGCTGCTGCACTTCCGTTTACTGTTGGTGCGGTTGATGCTGCGTCTGTATCTGCTGCTGCTGCTGTTTTTGCTGCTGCTGCTTCGGAAGGTTTGCTGCTGCTGCTGCTCCCTTTGTGTACAGGGCACAAGCTGCGCTGTCTTGCTTCTTCTTGCAGCAGCAGCTGCAGCACAGGGAGGTGTTTGTTTAACACCAACCAATGCAGTGCGGTATTCCCGCTGTTGTTACGCTCCAGACGAGCCCCTGCAGCAGCAACAGCAACAGCAGCAGCAACAGCAGCAGCAACAGCAGCAGCAACAGCAGCAGCAACAGCACCACACACAGGAGTTTCTTGAGCATATGTTTGTCGTCAGCGTTTGTTATTTTCTTGCTGGGTGTATAGCGAATAAAAATAAAAATAAAATATAAATAAATAAGTAAATAAAATAAATAAATAAATTAAATAAATAAATAAATAAATAAAATAAATATAGAAAATAATTATTTGCTGCTGCTGCTTACCCTGGTGCAGCAGCAGCTTTACAAATTGCACATGACCATTTGCTGCTGCGTAGTGCAGCGCTGTGTTGCCCATCTCATCTTTATAGTTTACGTCATCGGGCAGCAGCAGCTGCTGCTGTTGCTGCTGCTGCTGCTGCTGTTGCTGCTGCAGCTGCTGCCGCAAATTCTTTATCTTTCCTAAGACCGTCAGGTAGTCGGCAACGTTGCCCGCCCTAGCAGCATCTTCCCATTCCTCTAGCAGCTCTTCTGCTGCTTCTGCTGCTGTTGCTGCTGTTGTTGTTGCTGCTGTTACTGGCATTGCACCAGACAAGCCCTCAGAACCGTTAGACTGATTCATTTGCTGCTGCTGTTGTTGTTGCTGCTGCCGCTGCTGCTGCTGCTGCTGCGGCTGCAACGAGTATGAAAAGGGATGAAGACAGCTAACAACAGAAGACAACAAATAATAATTAAAAATAATTATATTAGAAGAAGATATCAAGAAACATCATCGAAGCCCTGCTGCTGCTGCTGCCGCTGCTGCTGCTGCTGCTGCTGCTATTGCATGCGCATGCAACAGCAGCAGCAGCAGCAAGAGGAAATACAAGAAAGACCTGGTGTCGCTCCTTGCATGCATTTAGAATTAAAATGTAAATTTAATTTCTGTTAAGTCATTTATTTATTCCCTTCTCTGCATGCACTACAGCTAATAGACCGCAGCAGCAGCAGCCGCAGAAACTGCAGCAGCAGCAGCAACTGCAGCAGCAGCAGACACAACAACAGCAGCAGCAGCAGCAGGAACAACAGAAACAAGAAAGATGCCTAGGAGGGGAACAGATTCTGGCGATAGCGCCGAGTCGCAGCTGCAGGAACTCTATAAGATGGTGCAACACTGCGGCTACCTGCTGCTGCTGCTGCTACTGCTACTGCCAGTGTTGCTGCCGTGTCTGTTGTTGCTGCTGCTGTTGTTGCTGTTGTGTGTGTGTGTGTGTTGTCGTTGTTGCTGCTGCTGTTTGTTTTGCCGCCGCTGCTGTTGTTGTTCTTGCTGCTGCTGCTGTGCTGTCTGACACAATTCCTTCTCCCCGCTCTGTTGTAGCTTACAGTTCTGCTGCTGCTGCTGTTGCTGTTGTTGCTGTTGCTGCTGCTGCTTCAGGGGGCGGAGCTGCAGCAGCAACAGGAGGTCTTGCTGCACCAGCTCAACAAGATAGGACAGGCAAAACACCGAAGCCTTTTAGCCTCTAAGGCCGCAGAAGCTGCCCTCGAATACGTAGGGTTTAGGGTTTAGGGTTTAGGGTTTAGGGTTTAGGAATTAGGGTTTAGGGTTTTATTCTGAGGGTTATACGGCATCAATGTATAGATCTTCTTTTAACGGTTTTAAATGCAACTTTGCTTCGAGGGTTTAGGGTTTAGGGTTTAGGGTTTGAGGGTTTAGGGTTTAGGGTTTAAGGGTTTAGGGTTTAGGGTTTGTTGCGTTGCCTGTGGTGTTGCAGATGCGAGAAGCTAAGCCCGAGGCCCGTGTATACAAACAAATCGCCAGACTGTAAGTACCTCCGCTGCTGCTGCTGTTGCTGTTGCTGTTGCTGCTGCTGCTGCTGCTGCTGCTGCTGCTGCTGTATTTATTTTTTGTATCTTTTTTCTTTGCCTCTTTATTTTATTTTTTCTCCTTATTTCTTTAATTTAATGTATTTTCCTTTTTTAACTAATTAATTAATTAATTAATTAATTAATTAATTAATTAATTAATTAATTAATTAATTAATTATATTTATTTATTTATTTATTTATTTATTTATTTATTTATTTAGGTTTGTATTAGAACAGCGAGATGTATTGACGGAAGATTTGAAAGAAAAAACAAAAAGTTGCAAAACTGAAGAACAAAATCTTGGGGTACTACACACCACTACCTAGCTAGCTAGCTAGCTAGATGGCTGGCTGGCTAGCTAGATGGCTGGCTGGCTAGCTAGATGGCTGGCTGGCTAGCTAGATGGCTGGCTGGCTGGGTAGCTAGATGGCTGGCTGGGTAGCTAGATGGCTGGCTGGGTAGCTGGCTAGCTGGCTAGATAGCTGGGTTGCTAGAGCTGGTTACAGCTAGCTGTAGCTAGCCATAGATAGCCACGTACAGCTAGCCATATACACTGCTATGGATATACAACTAACTAAGATAGGCAGACAGCTAGTTAGAGGCATACAGCTACAGCTAGCCATAGGCAGCTAGCCACATATATAGACAATTAGCTAGCTAGTTGCTGCTGTTGGGGTGTATGCACAACCTGCAGGCTGTCCAAGAACAAATCCTCGCAAAGATCAGCAGCGTAGAGGAACAAAGCAAAGACATCGTGCAACAGGCAGGCTGCTGCTGTCTGCTGTTGCTGCTGCTGCTGCTGTTATTTTCTGCTGCAGCTTCTTCTGGTGTTTGCTGCTGTAACTGCTCCTATTTGCTGCTACAGCTGTGGGTACCTACTGCTACTACTACTACTAATGCTGCTGCTGTTGCTGCTGTTGCTGCTGTTTGCTGCAGATAAGGAAGGCAACGGAAGCAGCAGCAGAATCAAGAGCCCGACACTGAGGGAAATCTATGCAAAGAAAAAATAATTCCGTCCTAGACATACTCAAACTCTGCTGCAGCTGTAGCTGCCTTTTTGCTGCTGCTGCTGTTGCAGCAGCAGCAGTAGCAACAGCAGCAGCCGCTGCTGCTGCTTCTGTTGCTATACACGGGTAACAACCGCATCTTTTGCCGTTAACTTGAAATATATCTACTGTATAAAACTAAAGAGAAGCAGCAGCAGCAGCAGCAGCAGCAGCAGCTGCTGCTGCTGCTGCTGCTGCTGCTGGCGAGTTTTTCAAGCGGCATCAGCCATTGCTACTCGTGTTGGTGGCACAGCACCTGCTGCAGCAACAGCAGCAGCAGCAGCTGCTGCTGCTGCTGCTGTTGCTGCAGCTATCCGAAGTAGCTCGGCAGATGTTTGCGAATGGATTGAATATTTGGATTTGTGTCAATTGGAGGATCGCGTATCCTGCAGAGGAAGCAGCAACAGCAGCAGCAGCAGCAGCACATTCCTAGCATTACTAGCTGCAGCAGCAGCAGCAGCAACACATTCCGCAACAATCCTAACAGCACCACGGTAAACAGCAACAGCAGCAACAGCAGCAGCAGCAGCAGCAGCAGCAGCAGCAGCAGCAGCAGCAGCAGCAGGTTAACCTGAGCTTATATCCAGGAGTTTGATATTTGAACTTTTTGAGGTCATGACGAGAGACGTAGGCAATTGAATATTTATTCTTAAATTGTTTAGCTGTCTGTACACCCCAATATAATATAAGAAAATATATATATATATATATATATATA